AGCCTGGTGATGGGTAATAAAGAGGGCATGTACTGCATGGAGCACTGGGTATTATATGCAAACAATGAATCATGGAACACTACATCAAAAACTAATGATGTAATGTATGGTGATTAACATAACATAATAATAAAAAAAGAACTTATCAAACTCAAGAACTCAAGACCAAAAAACAAATAATCCAGTTAAAAAATGTGCAGAATAAAGAGAGGAGGCAAGATAGTGGAGGAGTAAGGGATCCTGTTTCAACTGGTCCCCTGCATTTAGCTAGATATCTATCAAACTGCTTTGAACACACATGAAATCAGCCTGAGATGTAAGAATATAGATCTGGATCTCTACAAGCAGAAAAGTGACTGCTTTTTGCAAGGTAGGATGTGCAGAGTCGTGAACCTGTGGGGAGCTATCAGAAGATAAACATTAGGGGGAGGGAGCCTCCATAAACTGGCTCCTGGAACATGATATAACACCAGAGTGCAAAATCAGAACCCTTAAAAATCTGCTCTAGTGAGAGACATCCTTCTCTGAAAGGGGCTCTGGAAATAAAAAGGCAGAATTCTAGGTAGGGCATTGTGGTCTTGGGAGCCGAATAGCCACAGAGCAAACGGGGGTGCCCGAACCATAAAGTGCCTGAGCAGTGGAGCCGGGAAGCAGGTTATGGTGAGTGAGCCGAGGACTGGACTCTCAGCTCAGATTGCCATAAACCAAGAGCCAGGCTGGTCGGTAATCGCTCTTTTCCTGAGCAGCCTGAAAAAGACTGGAACCTGCACCCGTGACCAAGCAAAAGCTCACAGGGTGGTAGCAACCCAGAAAGGACATTAGGGTGGCACCCAGACATGATCCAGGAGCTTTGGGTGCACAAGAGAGCCCATGGTAACTCACAGTTTTAGAGTCACAAAGGACAGTGGCACTCTTGGGCCCCTGGGACTACCTCTGAGAGAGTTGCCATGGGCCTGCAGCTCGAGAAGCTGCAGTTTTTGTTGCCTACAGAAGGGAGACTGTTTGTCCCAGAGGGTTGACTAAAGAGGGCAGACTATGACCTTCTGCTCTGGGCCAGAGTTTTGGGCACAGCCATTTTTGTTCTGATCCTCTGAAGAGGCACAGAAAACCTCCAAGGAACAAAAACCACACAGAGGACTGTTTCCACTGAGTCCATCGCCCTGACAAGGGTGGGACAACTCTGCCCAGGCAGGAATACCTGAGAAACAGCGCAGCATGCCCCTTCCCCAGAAGACAGGCTGACAGAACAGGTGGATGACAAGCCTATGGATTCCACAAGACTGTAAAATTCCAACGCCGGGGGAAAATAGTATATTGAGCTCCAGGTATTGCCTCACAACTCATTTATTTTGCAGATAAAATTATTTTCTTTTCTTTCTTTTTCTTATGCTTTGTCTTTTTTTATACTTTTTCTCATTTCAACTAGATGTTTATTATACCAACTTATATTTCATAGTCGTTTTTAACTTGTATTTTTTCAATCTACATTTTTAAATAGATATGTGCTTCATTTTAGTCCTTTTTTCATTCTCTTCAATTTTATCTTTATATATATATGAATTACTTTCCTTGCAGTTTTGGGATGTAGTGTCTTCTAACACACAGACCAAAGTTAACCCAGGAACAGGTGGAATACCCTGCTTTGTCTACACTGTGAAATTATACTTCCTCTTCCCCTCCCCCCACTTTTTAAAAATTTTTATTCTTGTGTTTAAATTTGGCTTTGTTTTTCTGTGGTTGCTTCTGACCACTCTGGATTTTGCTAGGGTGCATCTTGCTTGGGTCATTTGGACTCTGCTCATTTGCTCACCCATCATTCTCTGGACAGAATGACAAGACGGAGGAACTCACACAAAAAAAGAATAAGAGACAGTGTTCTCTG